GTGTTAGAGCCCTGACCTGCCTCAAAACTCACTTTTCCTCTGGTTTTCTTGTGGCTCTGCTCTCCAAGTGTGCTTTGACCAGCTCCATTCACCCTCCAGGCCGGGCTGTTCAGCTCCAGGAGAATCTTCTGCTGAGCTTTTGTTGCATACTTGGAGTTGAGGGAGTCTTGGAGATCAGATGCCAAGTACAAAACAGCTTGAAATGCTGTTTAATGAGTCAAAATCTGTCATTAGCAATGAGGGCAGAGACTGTGGCTGGAGATGGGCACAGAGCCCATGGCCCTGGAGGGGCAGGCAGTCAGAGACATCCACCAGGAACCTCTGCAGGGGCATTTCCAGCTGCTTCTGCCTCTGTTTGGAGCACTGGAACCTGGTTTCTTGGGAAGCCCAGAGCAAGGGCACATCACAGAGTGTGCTGGGGTGGGTCTGAGGGACAGGGATGGGGAGAAGCAGGAGAGGGACCAGGTTGGGGTTAATCCCTGAAGGCAAGTCTCTGTGCAGCTCCTCCCATCTGAGACCTTGGAGACCAAGCACAAGGGCATCTCTTCCCAGCTCTGGGAGCTCAGACAGGACATTTTATTGGTTATTTTTAACAGCTGCTCTGTTTAAGGTGTTTACTTTCCTTTCACTCTGGTTCTCACTCCAGCAATGCCGATTTCTTTCCCTTTTTTTGTGTGTTTTCATGTTGCCACCAGAAATCCAAGGCTGGGTAAGACCTCCCTAAGCTCAGTCCCAGTGCCAGCTTCCAGTATCCCCCAGTTGCTGCTGCTGGTTGGTGCCTTTTGCTGTGCCCCAGCACATCCAAGCTGCTGCTTTACCTTTATTTCTGCACCCAGAGCAGGTTTGGACTGGTGGGATGTGCTGGGCCGTGCAGGCAAGAGGCTCCTGGGGGGAGCTGCCTTCCTGCTTTCATTTTTTAATTAGCAAACAATGGAGAAACCTCAAAAGGCTTCTAAATAGGGTTTTTACCTTTCCCACCTTCGGCAGAGAGGTTTCTGTGTGCAGGGCAGTGCTGGGAGCTCTCCACACCCTGTGCTGGGGGACACTGGGGACACTCAGTGCTCACAGCCCTTGCTGGCCTGGCCCTGCTCTGGGGCTCTGTGCCCTTCTTGTGTAGGGCATCACTGGATTATTTGTGACTTAAGCAGGGTTCTGGAATGTCTGTGTGGCATCTAATCATGTCTGTGTGGCAACCTGGGCTAGTGGAAGGTGTCCCTGCCCATGGGTGATCTTCAAGGTCCCTTCCAACCCCAACCAGTCCATGATTCTGTGATTGTGTCTGTGCTGATCCTCTGGTGCCTCTTGCTTGTTTGGAAGCATCTGGAGGTGGGAGAGGCACCCAAGTTGTGAAACACATCCCTGTGCAGGAGCTGAGGGGGCAGAGAAGTGTCACCACCCAGAGGGAGAAGCACCTGCCGAGCCAGAAGGGACAGGAAGGTGTCCCAAGGGCACAGTTTGGGAGCAGCTGGGCCTGAAACCCAGCAGTGTTTGAGGGGGACACAAGGGTGACAGGGATGTGGGAGGGCCAGGGGCATGGGGTGGCAGGGTCAGAGGGCTCACAGGGACACAGAGGGCTGGCAGGGGCACAGAGGTGGCAGGGGGCTGTGGAGGCAGTGGCTGGTGCAGAGGGCAGTGACGTGCCAGGGCCTGAGCCCTGTGGGGACGTGTCCCCTCCTGCCTGGGCTGGGGGGCACCACAAGGACCTGGTGGCACCTGCTGGGGGCTTGGAGGGGACCAGTGGCCCTGCCCAGCTGCCCATCCCACTGTGCCATGGCAGGAACTGCCAGTGCTGGCCTGGCTGAGCTGCAGCCCCGGGCACTGTCCCAGGGCCTGCCAGTCCCAGGGTGGCTCTGCATTTAGTGCAGGGAATGTGGCAAATCCACGGAGCTTTACCATGACCCCTCAAACACTTCCCAGCTCCTGCTGGTGGCTGGCACTGTTCTCCAGCCCTTTCCACACGGACATTTTAACCTGTTTGGTGTTGGCTTTTCTGTGGTGGGTTTTTTCTCCCTGTCCTACTTGGCAGAGGCGTTTTCCAGCTGGTAACTCATTTGCAGAGTCATGTTGGGATCAGGTTGGCTCTGTGCCCTTCATCCAAACAGGAACAGGGAAATACATTTGTCCCCCAGCCTCTCCAGCAACTCTTCACTGCAGGCAGGGAGGGGTTTGCCTTGGAATTGTAGCAAAGCAACACTCAAATGGGAGCTGAAGTTTCCAGCAGAGTGAGGAGGAGGTGAGAAAGGGAGTTTCTCCCTGCTCTGATCTGGTGCTGGGGTGTGGATGTTCCAGCCAGAGAGGAACAAGAGCAGCCTGGCTCAGGGTGTGAATCTGTCCTTGCTAGCAAGCAGTGAGCTTTTAGCTCTTCACCTGCTGTTCTGGGAGGATTTGGGAACTGCCCCTGTGCTGGCAGCACCCTCCTGGCTGTGCTGGAAGGGTGTCCCTGACCCAGGAGGAGCAAGGTCAGCAGGGAACATCAGCTGCATGGGAATGGTGTGCTGTGCTAAAGGGAGCGTGGGAATGGCTTCAAACTGCCAGAGGGCAGGGTTAGATGGGATATTGGGAAGAAATTGTTCCCTGTGAGGGTGGGGAGGCCCTGGCACAGGTTGCCCAGAGAAGCTGTGGCTGCCCCATCCCTGGAAGTGTCCAAGGCCAGGTTGGATGGGGCTTGGAGCAACCTGGGCTGGTGGGAGGTGTCCCTGCCCATGGCAGGGGGTGGGAACTGAGTGGCCTTTAAGGTCCCTTCCAACCCAAAGCAGTGTGTGATGCTGTGAACAGCCCTGCCCTGCCCTGGGGTCACTGCCATGAGTCCCTGAGGCAGCAGTGGCATCGAGCAGGATGTGGCCTTCCAGGTTCAGCCTGGAGCCTCCCACTCCCAGGAGGGCTTTTCCCCCATCAGCAGAGCCCCCACACTGCTTTTCTTGCTCCCTTTCCCCTGCAGCCCAGGCTGTCTCCTGAAGTGTCCCTGCACAAACAGCTCTGCCAGGACACATCCCAGTGGCACCTTCTGGGGTGCTGGTGGCCCAGGCAGAGCTGGGGACAGTGCTGCAGGGTGGGACATCGAGGCAGGACCTGCCCTGCCCTTCAGGGGTGTGAGGGTTCCCCCCCCCAGACCCCACATGAGAGCAGGGTGCTGGTTTGGGACAGCAGTGGGGTGGAAGTGCTGATCCAGGGATGGACACCAGTGCTGGTGTCTGGGCTGGGGGGAGCTCAGAGGGTGGTGACCCTGGACAGGTCTGTCAGAGCCAGCACAGAGCAGAGATGGCAGAGCTGTCAGACCCACCCACTGCTCTCCCAGCCCACCAGCAATCAGGTTCTCCACACCTCCAGGAGCAGCCTGGGGGAGGGGGGAGCCCCTGGATCCCGGGGGTGGAGGGTCCCAGAGCTGCTGCTGCATCACGGTGGGATCAGTGGGGCACAGAGGGAGCTCTGCTGGGCTTCACCACGAGCAGACGTTGCTCTGTGTGTGTGTCTGTCCCATCCCGGGGCAGAGCCTTTGTCCCCAGCCCCAAGGGACACGGGGACAGAGGTGGCACCGGCCCCAGCCCTGCGGCACAGCCCGTGGTGACACAGGCCCGGGACTGTGCCTTCCTCAGGAGCCTCTGCCCACTGCGGGCACTGAGAGCCAGGGAAGGGACAGGGACAGGGACAGGGAGCTGATGGTGGGAACAAGCCTGAGAGCTGCTGGCCCTGCCCCTTGAGCTGCACAGACCCACAGAACCCCCGAGGGCTCAGGGTCTGGGCAGGAGCCACTTGTCCTGCCAGGCTGGTCCCGTCCCCAGCACATCCCTGCTCCAGGGCTGGGCACCCCCCCGGCAGCTGGAGGTGGGAACCTTGTCCCGGTCATATCCTGGCCCTGCTGCCGCTCTCCCCGGGCTGCCAGGGATGAGAGGGAGGAGAGGTGGGGGTTTTCCAGCTGCCGGTGAGGGGGAGGTGAGCAGTGCCCTGTCCCTGTGCTGCTCCTCCCCTGACGCGTCTCTCTTGTCGTTTCCAGGGCAGTGAACGGCTTTGACCAAGGGCCCCCCGGGCTGGGAGCCTCCCGACCGTCCTCGGCGCCGGGAATGCTCCCCCTGAGCGTATGAGCCGCGGGGGGAGCGCTTGGACTTGTGTTTGCTTTTCTCAGCCCAGAAGAGAAGAACTGCTCCCGATTCCTCCCCCTTCCCACCCCGCTGGAACATGACCCCGAGAGGAGACCCCGAGCTCACGGCCCTCCCCGTCCCGTCAATACAGTTTGTTTTCTCTGTCGCTGTAGTGGACGTTCTGTGCCCCACGAGCTGCCACTCCCGGGGCTGTGTCTGGGGGCACACACGAGTCCTGCTCCCCAGCCCTCGGCCCTTTGCTTCCTCTCTGCTCTGTCTGACTCGAGCACTGGCCGCTCCTCGTCCAGGCTCCCCCGTCCCTGCAGCTCTGCCCCCCCGGGAAGGCTCAGACCCCTGGAAAGAGGCCCTGGGGGAGGGTGGGCGATGGCACTTGGGGCGTTGGCACCTGGGAAGTGGTTCCAGGGGGTGTCTCAGTCCCGGCTGCCCCAGTGACTGTGTTGGAGCCGGCAGGGCTGGAGGAGCCCATCCCAGTGGCACAGGTGGGCACACACAGCAGGGCCGGGCTCCTCGGGGGCAGGGAGGTGGCACAGAGGGGTGACTGTCACGAGCTCCCCCAGATGCCCTGGGGGGAGCTGGCAGGGCTGAGCTGTTCTCCTGTGGCTCCTGCCCCTGGGCAGGGCCGTGTCCGGGTGCTGTGCCCTCCGGTGTCCCCTGGACCTGCCCCACTGGCCCGGCCTTCCCCCCTCACAGCTCCACAGCAGCTCCAGGAGAGCGTTAGGGAGCCCCTGCTGCAGCTGCCCCACTGCCCATGAGCCCCAGACCCTGTGACCGTCACCCCCCTGCTCTGCCCCGTGTAGGACCGGAGTGTCCTGTGTCCCCTGCAGGTTCTGTGACAGCGTTGGGCGACTGGGGGACCTTGTGGGTCCTTGAAGCAACACATTTGTGGGATTTCTCTGTCCATGTGCCTCGGGGTCGGTGGGTTTTCAGCCTGAACCAGCAAAGGGAGCCGGGGTGGAGCTGGGGGTGCTGAACTCCCTGTTCTGGGCTGGTCCAGCACGTTCAGGGGCTCTGCAGCTCCCAGGGGGTTTAGTTACGAGCGCTGATTTAAACCACTGGCCCCGCAGTGGAGGTGGGATGTGCCCCTTTGCCCTTAGGGTTTGTATGGTCCTTCCTTCCTGTGCATCCTCTGCTGCATTTGACTGTTTACATTTGTTTTATTGTACATAGATTTGTAAACATAATACCTTTGCCTGAGGTCTTTGTACATAACTTGGGCTTTGTAGCTTTATTTATTCAGCCTCTCTCTGGCATGTTTCTGTAGGATGTACCGTTCCACCCTGGTGCCACAGCCATGATGTGGTTTCAAAAAAATGAAAACAAATGAGAGTAATCTTCCAAAAATAAAGTTCTTTTAATGTGGAATCAGTGGATTTTGCAGAACTGGTGGCTGTGGCTCTATTTTGTCCCATAGGGTTTTTTGCCAAGTGCAGGGAAGGGGCCGGTGCTGAGGTGCTCCCGTTATCCCACGCCCCTTCCCTTGGGAATGTTGCTCCATAGCTCAGTTTGGGCGCATGGGAACGGCCACTGCTGGAGCTGGGGCTGAGCAATCACCTGTCCCACACAGCCTCTGCTGCTGGCACTGCATTCCCCAGCGGTGAGCTGGAACACGGTGGGGTCAGTATTTAATTTGGGGAGGAACCTTGGGAAGTGTTGGATCTCCAGCTGCCAGCCTGGGATTTTTGTCTCCTTGGAGCAGCTGGAAGATGTTTCCTCTGCAGAGGAGCCGCTCTGGGGCCCTTCCCGGGGAGCTCCATCCCCTCCCAGCTGCGGCCCCGGCCCTGCCCCCGCGGCTGTGCCGGACACACGGGCCGGTGCTGCCGCTCCCAGGCCACCGGGATCGGCTCCAGCCCGGGATCGGCTCCATCCCCGGCGCTCCCGGGACATGGCTGGAGCCCCGGCCCTGGGGCAGTTCTCCAGTCCCCCCTGCCGGCCCCAGGGTCGGGCCACTGCCCAGGCTGGCCCTGAACCCCTGCGGACACACTGGACAGCACATCCTGTTCCTCCTGGGAAGCTCCTTCCAGAGCATCCTGAACCGATCCAGGCCCAGCTCCCTCCCGGGGGCAGTGCCCTGAGGGGAGCAGGGTCACCCTCCCTGCAGTGCCCTCTCGCAATGCCCAGTTCAGAGTGCCTCCTTCTCTCCTGCAGCCCTGCCAGAAGCAGGGAAAGCCTTCCCTCAGCCCCTGCTCCTTCCCTCAGCCCCTGCTCCTTCCCTTGGCCCCTGCTCCTTCCCTCAGCCCCTGCTCCTTCCCTTGGCCCCTGCTCCTTCCCTCAGCCCCTGCTCCTTCCCTCGGCCCCTGCTCCCTCCCTCAGCCCCTGCTCCCTCCCCAGCACGAGGAGCAGCAGCCAGGGAGGGGAAGGAGCACCTGAGGAAAAGGTGCCAAGACTGACTCTGGTTCCAGGAGCTCGTGCCTGGGACC